AAATTAATATTATAATGTATCAATATTCAACTCAATTATGTAATGTGACATTAATTATCTGAATAAAGGCTTATTATTATTATTATTATTGTGATTGTCATATTTCAGGGATCCTTTACTTAAAACTTTGCTGTTCTAAGGAATATGATTATTTTACTTATGCTTATGTTTAAGATATAAAAGTTGTCATTCCGCATATCATATGCCAACAAAAATATGCCATCCATATAACCAGATTGATCAGTTTTAAAAGATAAAAGTGGACTTAAATTGTCACAAAAACAAACAATCCTAGGTTTATTGTATTCTTTCTTGATACTGTTAAAATTAATAATTTTATGATTAATAAAATGTTGATTAAGTTGAGGTGAATTACTTAGACAGTTTCCTATGTTATTTCCATATGTGTCAGGTATGTCAGGTGTGTTAAGCTTGTTTACTTATCTTCTTAAACCACACAAACAGCAAGCTGATTTGTCCATCATCAATTTTAGTTGAATATTAAGATTTATAACAAGCAGTCAATAACATGTACATCACAACACATCATTTTCCACTTGGCTCGCTATGAAATAGAAATCAGCGTGAACAATGCTCTGTGCTGTGGGAAGGCAACACAATAATGATCACTCACACCTAGCTTTTTGTTTGATGACCCTGTATGATACCTGACATCCATAAGTTAAATTAATTACCCTAATTTGGGATAACAGATGTAGAACAGAAAACATTTTTATGGCACTTTTTTCATACTTTGTAACTTCATCTATGCCAAATAGAAAATGAAGAATAAACATTGCGATAGCATAAATTCATACAAAAAAGATAAAAAGACATTCTAAAATTGTAATATTTTATATGAGAAACATTGATATTGCAAAAATAGTTTAAATCAAAGGATTGGCACAACATTGTTTTTATGTTAAATGAGAGTTTTGTTACAATTTTAACAATGAAATTACATTGAAACACATTATTAAATCTCAACATAGATTACTCATGCATCTAATCATTATCCAAATGGAGTCATTGCATTTATTGAATTTCAACATACTTCAACAACAAAAAAATACAACTCCGGGCAGATTTTAGGAAGGGTAGAATTTTTACCTTTAAAGTAACCTGTCATCATCCACTTGCCCTTATCCCTTATGGAGGGTCGGCACAGTATGTGCTGCTCTTCCATACATCTCTATCAGCCGTCATATCTGAATCCACTCCTTTCTTAAGCATATCTTCCTTCACACAATCCATCCATACTTTCTTCGGTCTTCCTCTTCCTTTGTAGCCATCCACATTCAATCTCAACACTTTCTGGTTTATGTCCCCATCATTTCGTCGCATAATATGTCCATACCACGCTAACCTTTTGCTTCTCAATTTCTCCACCACTGGCGCTACTTTCAAACTTCCTCTAATGTACACATTCTTTAAAGTAACCTGTGTTGAATGCAAAATACAACCTCTTTGGCTGGTAACAAGTAACAAGTTAAACAACCTGTTATATGTCATTTTTGACAAATAGTTGTACATACATAGAAACATAAATTGTAATAGACTCCTGTAGGTATTCAACTCTAAATTGTTTTGCATTTAAAAGTTACTAGGCTCTTACCTTTTGCTCTTCAAGAAAAGTCGTAGATAATTTGTATGCAATAGCTGAAAACATTACTGTGCACAATGGGCAGTCCTGTTCCCAGGCTTTGAGGTGCCCATGCCCTATAAAAGAACCTTTCTCCACTAAACAATACAAAATTGATATATTGCAAGAATCAAAAACCACGTAAATCAAGCACGGGTGCGTGAGTCACGGCCGAGCTAAACACAGCGCCGAAGCTCCCCGCGGGCGTAACTGTACTAAAATCGAATACAGTAATAGCAGAGTCTCAATCCGGTCTGCATACGCACATTTACACGTGAGAACCGTAAGACAATAGCCGAGAAACTGTGGGAGATCGAGAGGCGTTGCCATTGTTGTAAACAATCACGTCACTGAACCTAAATACAAACCAATTAAAAGCAGCTTTCTGTATAATGCTGTACTATATCATGGAACTTACGCACTCACTGGATCAATGAGAATTTGAGTCGGAGTTTTCTTGTAAGAGTAATTTCACTGTGTAAATAGATTTCACTAATTTCGTCACTGGTCATTCACTTCCACGGATATCACAAATCTGTCAAAATGAGCAACGAAAGTGGGAGGAATTTAAATAGAGTACATCAGTGATAGAATAGGTAGTGTTTTTAGAAAACGTATTGTTCATTGATAAGCTTGCTGTGCTAGCGACATCTATAACTAGAAAATACAAATGAAGTTACAACGAAAATATTTAGTGAAATGTTTAGGGATTGAGAGAGAATTCTTCTTCATTCTTCAAAAACTATTACAATAAAATTGTAGGACTGTCTCGGAAAGGAAATTCACTTGATTATTATAAATATTGATGTTCATTGCCTGATTCATAAGAAAATAAAAATGTTAGGTTACACCGTCTATTTCAGGATTTAAAAATGCTAAAATAAGACCTTAGTTAACAGGAGAAACTTATAAATTTATTTATCTTGCACTCTTTTCTCTGAGAAACAGAACGTTAAAATGTTATCATGTTATCAATGTCATATTTGACAATTAAACTATCAAAATACACAAAACAGAATGATAGCAACGTAAATTTTGACCGAAAACATTTGGTAAATCGAAAAGTATTCCAAGCGCTACCTCAGTGTTTGATGGAAAATATGTCCGGAACAAAATTAGACATTCTCTGGTCACCGGTGCACCATGATAAATTTATTGTTTGGGGTCCTGACATAACCTTATACGAAGTTGCAAAACTTTCGGAAATAGAGAAGAAAACTACATGTATGTTTACATATGTATTTATAACCAGATTTATTTCATATATCTATTATCGGTAACTATAAGAGAACATTATGTTTTTAGTTAGTCAGATATCGTCAACGCGAGGTGCGACGGTGGTTGCATCGCAGAGCGCTAGCGGCGTGCGCTGTGTGGACATCAGTGCTATAGCTGATCATCCTGACCCCCTGCTTGCGCTGGGACACGCCAGTGGTAGAGTTACACTCGCCAGCCTTAAACAGACTTATGATCCATTAGGACTTGTTGGAAGAGAGTTTGGTAAGTATCAAAATACTTAATTACTTTATAATGAATTGTAAATAGTAGAGACTTTTTTATTTATTATCTTCCTTAAGTGCCCAAGTATGGACGTCCCTGTAATGGGTTGTCATGGAATCATGATGAGACCAATCTTGTTGCTGTGGCATTGGACAAGCACCGCAGCGACCACTGTATCCAAGTTTGGGATGCAAACAGATCTTCTCTATCAACTGATGAATTTACAGGTATGCATAAAATCTTATTGAAAAGTGATATGGGTATAGTAGGTACTTTAATATTATTACTAATAACTAAATTCAAATTTCAGTGGAATTATAGTTGATTGTGTGTTAACTCAAATTTGTGATATTTATCCAGATAATACTTCTGCACTACAATCGGAGCCGGCACGGCCTATTGCAGAGCTTGCCTTGTCAGAGACGGCTCACAGTGTGGCCTGGACGGACCTCGGGAACCGCACCCTTGCTGCTTCCATGAACATGAAGCATATAAAGATTTATGACCTCAGAGGTAAATACTGATAAATTTACATACAATCTAAAGGTTTAGTTTCCTTTTTACCCTCAGTGTCTATAGTTTTTTTGTCAATTGATGTGTATATGCATTGTGTGTGGTGTGTCAGAGCAGAGCGGGCCGGGGGC